ATGGTACTCCATTTCCCAACCAAAACAATTCAGGCCTTAAAGAATAGTAGCAGAATTTATACAGAGGCAAACAAGATCATGTACTGGGATAACTGTCAACTGGGACTTATCTTGGGCGGCAGCTGCCAATACTGGTCCATACCCAGTCTGTGAGATGTATGGATCCCATGGGGACTCGTATCTTTTATAGGTGAACGAGCACATGTTACTGTGGAACTATCCCCACCACTGGTAGAGGACATCTGTGTAATCAGCCAAGAATAAGATGGTAAAGCCATGTGACTAATCAAATGGTAGCACTGGAAGTCCTAAGCAATCACATGGATGCTCCTTGAGGATCCATCCTCCAAATGTTTCTGTGACACAGGCATTCATTCATACATATACCCCAGTCTCCCCACCCCCACCCTCTGCCTCATTTCTGTTTTCTTTTTTCTTTCCTGGATACCTGCAAAGATCATGGAAACTAAAGACCTAGACAGAACTCCCACATGACACCTTCAGTTCTTCCCTATGCTTTCCTAGCACCCAGAATAATTTTCTCAGAGACCTAACGCTACCTAGAAACCTCCTGAGTGGGGAAAGAGGGATATAAGGCACATGGTAACTTTATTGTCAGCAGGGTCTTAACAACCACCATCTTTACATTCTGCTCACTCCTGGTGTCCCCAAGCTTATTTTCTTCTCTTCCTTTCTCTACAGAGAAAATCTCAGGTGGGGACAGGAATTTGAAGCTTAGGGGTCCCACCTCACTGAGCTAGAGAGTAAGAGTGAGATAGGGTGATGGCACAGCCTATGACCGGAAACTAAATCAAAGTCTGACCCCATAGCTGGGAAATAGAGCACGAAGCAGGCTGGGACTAAGTGTTTCTCCTCCTCTCAGGACTCTGGTGCTGCCCACTTTTGTAGCAATACCAGAACTTTCTCAGACCTTCTCTAGTCATTTAGTATAGATAGCTCTATTTATGTGGGTATGGAGGTAATTCTTCAGGCAGAAAGAAATTCTCTTGAGCATTACATCCAAGGTCGGGGAGACTGCATGTTTACACTTTTAACATCTAATGGCAATTTAAGGTAAAGAAAGCCAAAGCCTTTTATATAAGCAAGTTTCTTCTGTGAACCTACTAAACCATTTGTTCAGGTTTGGCTTCCTTCCTTCCTTCCTTCCTTCCTTCCTTCCTTCCTTCCTTCCTTCCTTCCTTCCTTCTTTCCTTCCTTTCTTCTTCCCTCCCTTCTTTCTTTCCTTCCTTCCTCCTCCCTCCTTCCTTTTTTCTTTCCTTCTTCCCTCTTTCCTTCATCCTTCTAAAGAGGCCTTATTCTACAAAGGTAAAAGAAACACCTCAGAGATGTTCCCAGCAGGAACTTGCATTCAATATTTATGACTTAATCCTGAGATTATGCAGGTAGCTGGTTTGAACTCTGGCAGGTTAAGGTTGTGTCTCAAAAGCATTTGGGACACAAATCAGTGTTCCTGATCCTTTTGGGGCTATGTTCAGACACATTTAGGGGTGATTGGTGGAGGTGTCAGAGGATGGGAAGAAGGCTGTTGTGAATGGGCAAGGGAGAGTCCTGTTTTCACTCCAGAGGCTCTAGGATTTGTCACCAAAGAAACATCAAAGGATCATCAAAGGAAACTTTGTCACCAAAGGGTCATCAACGGAAACTTGCCTTTGGTTTCCCTGCCTACACTCTTATGGATATAACCTTGGGAATTAAAGTAAGGTTAAACCTGGACATCTAAAGAAGAGGGGCTAATATTTTATAATAGCATCACCTGGCCCCATTACAGGACCAATAAAGAAAAGATTTGGCTAATAGATAAAAACCTACTCTATAATTTCTATAAATGGATCCATTTTGTAGGTATCAAGGACAAAGTTCTAAAGTGCCTTATGTACAGGCAGACTTCATGGCTATCAGGATAGGGGACAATAAAAAGAAAGGGAGGAAGTAAAAGGGAGGGACGAACCCTAATTCCTCTGTAATGCTGCAAGGTGCTGCTGTCCGTGTCCCCTGCGAATCCCAAGGTTGTATCCATGGTGCCTGGGATGCCCACAGGCAGGGTTAAGCTGGTGTTTACAGCCTCACGCATACTGCACTGCCTGCTTTAACTGTTTCATGTTTATTTAATAATTAATGAAACTGACCATTAATGCAGACTGCTCTATTTCTCCTCTACATTTTCCTCCACCCCCTGAGGTTGACAGTAAACCCCTCCCTCAGGTCCTCTTTCTAATCATACACTCTCCCCTCTGACCTTGACCAAGGTCTCCGCGCCTCCCCCCCCCCCCCCCACCCCCAGTAGGACTCTGCTTCCTGAAGTCCTGGACAGCAGAGGCTGAGATACAATTCTCCACTGAGGTAGGTTCCCTCAGTCCTGTGAAGTGATGCTGCCTCCTGAGATAGTGGCCCCTCCCCTCCAGCTGAGCTGGTCACTCTGATGCCTTGAGGGTAGGGTCACACTCCTCAGTTCTAACTGCTACACCTCCACAGCAGAGGTCCCACCCTTCTCATGATCACAAACCAAGGGACATAGTGGCAGATGTCTCTTCTGCTTATTACTCTCTGAGGAGTGGGTCCAAAGGGATATGAATCACAGGGCAGTGAGCACAGGGGCACAGCCTTAATCCTTTCTTGGTTCTACCACTGATCTATTAATTAGGACAGTGGTTCTCAACCTGTAGGTCATGATCCCTTTTGGAGTTTAATGTTCCTTTCACAGGCGTCGCGCTTAAGACCGTTGGAAAACAGATATTTACATTATGATTCATAACAGTAGCAAAATGACAGTTATGAAGTAGCAACAAAAATAATTTTATGGTGGAGGGATTTCCATGATATTGGGAACTGTATTGAAGAGTCAAGCATTGGGAAGGTTGAGAACCACTGTATTAGGAGGACTTGGGTTTCCATTGTTTCATCTGAAATGGGACTAAGAATGATCTATCCCTTATGGCCAGGTAAGTGCTAAATAAATTTAAACATGTGAAACACCCAGTGGATGACTCCTGGGCAGTGTCCACTAAGTACTTACCTAGTAATGACCAGCTGCTGCATACTTACCAGCTAGTAACACGTAGCACAATTAGTGAGCTAGAAGTCCCAGTGTGTGACCTGTTCTTGGTCACTAGAGTTGGCCAGTGGCCTCTACCTAGGGTCTGACCTTCACTTACACTTTCAGAACCTGGCCATTACTTCATGGAGAGTGGCCCAATGCACATGATAAAGGCACCGAGCTGCTAAAACAGGTAGGAGCCTGCCCATCTGTCTTGTCATGGTCACATGATGCTGTCAAGTCCCCCTAGAGATACATGCCATCTATCTCTCTTTTGAAGACCTTCCTGGCTCTATAAAACAAGTGATCATTCTCCTTCTCCTCAAGGCCTTCACGAAGATCTGTTTACTGTATCTGTGGAGTGTCTCTCTGCTTCCTCTTACCTGTCTCCTCTATCTCTACCTATAACCTGAGCCTTTCTTTGGGTCATCCCAGTCTCTTCCTGTCTCCAGTGCTGGTAATGGGCCTGGCACTCATGAAGGGTGGCTGAATTACAGTAAGTCTGGGCCACTGCTCCCAGACAAAGGGAACATTCTACACATGAAAGCAGAGAGGGGCACTATCCTTGGAACCAGGGACCTTGTCCTCAGTCTGCAATGGAGCTGAGGGCCTGGCTAACTGAGAAACTGGCTGAGGAATCTGTGCTTCTCACACCTGTGTTCCCCGGCAGCCCAGAAGGACATTTAAAGGCTCAAGGTGTGTGCTACATGTAAATAAGGATTGTATTTGAGGGACTGTTGGCTCCAATGGGAATTGTCAAACCTTAGGTCGTGGGACATCGTGGCCAAGACATTGGGCTTTGAGGTAGAAGCATTACTGTCAGGGGTGGAAGTGGAGAGAGGTAGAGACAGCTCATAACTACACTGTATGATGACAGGCTACAGAGGGGCACTTTCCCGTAAGACTGACAAGTGAGCCACTTAAATGGAAGCTTTTAACTTGACAAGTGAAATGAGGGAGTTTAGGCTTGGCTTCCTGCTCACCCGAGGGTGATGGGTCTGAATAGACAATTCTTGGGTGCCTCACTCTTGGGTGTCATCCAGTGACTATACAATGAAGAATCTGGCAAGACCTCCCCTTCTATGGAGTGTGACCTTGGTCTGGGGAGAGATCCTGGCATATATCAAGTAGACAAAGAACAACCAGCAGGAAGAGTCTGAGACTGAGCCAGAGGACACAGTCATAGCCACGACACTCATTATGGCCTGAGCCTTTCTCACAGAGCAAGGAAACATTCACGATAGGGTGCTCTAGTGTGAATCTAGAATCAACCCAGGAGAGAAGCCTCTGGGTGTGCATGTGTTCGAGGGAGCTTACAGGTTAGACTGAGCTGGGAACACTCACCCTAACTGAGGGGCATGACTATTCCATGGGCTGTGGAAACATAAATACAAAGGGGAAAGTGAGTTGAGCATCAGCATCCATCTCCTGCTTCCTGACTGCAGCTACAATGTGACCCTTCCCCTGTTATTATGGACCGATCCTCAAATTGTAAGCCAAAATAAACCATTCTGTCCTGAAGTTACCTCTGGTAATTTGTCTCAGAATGAGAAAAATAGCAAATGCACCTTGCAAAAAGGGCACATTCTGGTTTCACTGACACAACTGGCTATCCCTGGCTTCTTTGGGTTTCTGAATAGAGAATCTTGTAATTCTGGGTTGTGAAAGTTTCTGCCCCTTGGGCCATATGGGGTTAAACTAACAATCAGGTCACATCACAACACAAGAACGAGGGCTCATGACTTGAAATAACAATATTGAATCACAAGGTCTAGGTGTATGCTTCTATGACTTACGATACTTGAGGCCCTCCTGACTGTGGCTAGATAGGAGATGAGCTGGGATATTTTGGGGCCCTGCCCTGTATTCTGGAAGCCTTGGGGCTCAGCCCTGGACACATGATGTTGAGGACAGGAACTCTTTCCATCATTCATCCCCCACCTACCAAACCCTGGAGTCCGGTTGGCAAGACTGGGGTATGCGTTTCCGCTTGGTGAGGAGGCAGCTGGGCTGGAGAGAGGACTGTAGGACGAAGGGTCAGCCGGGTAGGGGTGGCTTGATCCAATTCCAAAGGCAGATGACTGCGTCTTGCTGGGCTAGGTTGGGATTGGCAATCGGCAACGGTCAGGACAGAAAGAGGCAGGACCAACCAGCTTCCCACTGAGCTCCACCCTTGAGGTCACTTCAGGAACAGCAGGCCCTGCTTCCCTCACTAGCATGGGATGAGCCCAGTTGGGGCTGGGAGTGGGGAGGTTGGGCAGAATCCTGTCCCTGGAGACTTGGGGTGGAGCTGCTTAACATTACTTTGAGGAATACAATGGCTTGGCTTCTCCAAGTTCAGTTTATGGAGGCCTCTCTGATGAATAAGATCTATCCTTCCAGTACCTTCCAGGGAACTAGGAATGTTGGTTGCATGGTTGGGTATTTGCAGGACTCTTGGAATAGTAGTTCCAGATTTCCAAAGCAATGAGGAACTTGTTCTTGCTGGGGAAGCTTTGGGTACCCAACCTCCCCTTGCTCACTTTCTCAACAGGAGGATGTAAAAGGAAGAGGATGCTACTCAGACATGGTGTAAATGTTGAGGACCCAGCTCTCAAAGTGCCCTGTGGATGGCAAGGACTCCTGAGGAACTGGGAGCACTGACCTACCCTCAGAGCTGGGAGTCACGAAAGCAGATGGTGGGTGTTTTGCCACTCTGGGCACCCAGGGCCATATTTCACTCATACCTGCCCTGGGAAGGGTGGACGGCTGCCTGTCCATGCCACCTGGCCCTGGTTCAGCTGCCGGGAGATCTGCGATATGTTCTGGCCCGTTGAGGAGGAGGACTGAATGTCATTCACTCCAGGCACATGGACCACAGAAGAGCTAGGAGAAGAAAAAAAATACTTATTCCCAGAAACGGCCTGCTTTCTTTACAAGATCCTGAGCTGGCTTGCTTTCCTGCTGTCTTCCTGCTTGTCCACTGCCCAGAGGTCCTTGCTGGCTTCTATTCTCAGACTCCTTATCCCCCAGGGTCTGGTAGCTCTTACACTTGCCCACCACCATCTTTCCCTGAACACCTCCAGCTCTCTATAAAGATTTCATTCCAAGAAGAGACACGAGTTGCTGAATACAAATCAGACTCTGTACTACCTGCTCTTTGTGCTCTAGTTAATTTGTCCCACTGGGGCACTGAGAAAGCTTACAGCCTCTGGACATAGGCTGCAAGCTGCCAGTTTCAACATGGAGACAAACCTGGGAATGGAAGGCTGCTTTATGTGACTGTTGGTTTACTTCTTCTGCCTTCAGATGAATTAATTTGGTGCATCTTTCTTAGGCATCTGTAGTACGTATCACAATGTGCAGCTTGCTGCATGCCTGATGAGGATGTTCTGACACTCTATTACCAGGTCCTTCTTCTAGGAGCCTTTTGGGCTATGTGGACTGTAAACTCATTGAAGAAGGAAAGGGCTAGAGTTGGAGGGAGACTTGTACGACTCCAGGCCCTTCTTGCTATCTCCCTGGGTCTGTGCTGGTCATGGGCTGTGAATACATCTAGTGAGGTGGGCTGTATCTAATTTTAGGTTTTTCATAGAGGTAGGTTTTGGGGTGGATTTGGAAAGAAAGAGCTACAGACTAGTTTTACTAATTGTAGTCTAACCTTTTTCTATGTGCTCTAACCCCTTACAGATTGCAAAGCAAATTCAGTTGTTAGAACATGATGTCTGTCTTCCTAAATGAGTTTACTGAACATTTGTGTCTGCTCCTTCCCACCAAATCCAGATGGATGCTTTAGCTCAGAGCTAAAGTTGATTTTTTTGAAGAGGGGGTCACACTATGTAGCTCTGAATGACCTAGAACTCACGATGTAGACCAGGCTGGCTTTGAACTCACAGAGTCTTCTGCCTCCCACGAGGTGGGATAAAAAGCATGTGCCATCATACCCTGCATGATGATAATTTCTTTATTTTTCATTTAGTCTCCTTTAAAAATCAGCTACATTAATTTTACAATGTATAATAAATTCTGACCTTGAGTTCATGATTTCTTCCTGCCTCGGATGTCTCAGTGCTGGGATTATAGATGTCAGCAACCATGCCTGTTATCAAAGTCATGGACTTCACTCTGGCTCCATCATACCTATTACTTTGGTCATATTACCTCTGTATCTCCCTTTCTTTCAGAGCACATTTTCCAGACATTGTTCCTCGTAGTTCTTCTTTAACACATGCCTCAGCCTGCATAACCCTTCTTAGGACGCTGACTAATGAGGGACAGCTGTAACTCTGCCTGGGATTTTTGGAACAAAGTGCTGGCCCTTGTGCCCAGCCCTTTCTAGGGTTGCTGGTCATACTTGCTGCTGATGTAGGAAATATGTTCTTAGAACATCAAGGAAGGGAGATTCTTATCAACTTGTGGCCAATGTAGTTTCTGGGCACTGGGTTTGCCTGCCCAACCCACTTCCCTGCAGTGTCTCTGGAGCCCTGTTCTGAGTTGGGCCAAGTTCAACTGGAATGTAAGAAAGACTCTGCCTTGCTGTGCCTGGTGTATGTGAAGCTTCTAGGGACCTTAGGAGTATCTGTTGTGACACAGGAGGATGCCTTCCCTAATGACTGTTGGCTTGTCCTTTGGCAGTCCTGGGGTCTTGCTTGCTTTTCCCAGAAGAAACTTGAGCCAGGTCTGACCCTCAGTGGTAATGTCAAGCTTCTTCAGTAAGCTATAGCATGCCTTGATGCTTATAGCCAGGCACCCTCCTGAATGGTTCTTAGGGCTGAGGCTAAGATATGATGGACCACCTTTTCTCCTTGCATTTGGCCATGGCCTTAGCAAACTAGAGAACAGGGCGGTTCTGGCTACTTTCCCAATCGGGTCCTACCCGAGTCTTGGCTATAGACCATCTCCTTCCCTCCTTCCCTTCAGGATCACAGAGAGGATCAGTATCTTCTGTGTCTGAGAGTCTGATGCCCAGTGCCTATGGAGGGGCTGATGGAGCAGAGTTAGCTGTCCAAAGTCTCCATCCTGGCTCCATCCCACAGTACAGGAACGGCTGATTCCTGCTCAGTCACAGAGCCAATGCTGGCACTCAGGCCTTTATTTTACCAATCCCCTCCCTGGCACCTACCTGAAGGCCTTGCCCGAGTGCCCAGCAGGGAATGGGCTTCCTTGGGAGTAGATCTGCTGGCTGCCTGATGCTGATGCTGAGCTCAGCATCTTCTTCTCCGCTAGGAAAACCATAAGAGTTACATGTGAAGGACCCCCTTGTGCTACAGGCCACGAGGGGGCACCCGGGAACAGAGTATGGCCTGGGAGCTCAGGAGGTCCACATGGGACAGCCTCCTCACCTTCACCTTTGATGTGCTCTCTTAGGCTCTTGGCTCTTAGACTGGCCCCAGCCACCTGAAGGCAAGCCCTCAAGAGTGGGAAGGTACTACTGTATTTAGTCCTTAGTGTGCAAAGAGGTGAGGCCATCCAGGGTAACCTCAGCTGCCTGGCCTTGGACCTTGGCTTGGCCTTTTGTGTCACAGATGTCACTTGGGATGCTCCTTGAACTCTCCCCTGCCTCAGTTTCTCCATCTGAAAGATGATAATTGCAGTCTCTTTCTTACTGGGCTATGGTGAGGATTCTCTGTGTTATTATAAGTAAAATGTTTACTGAAGACAGTGCTGGGAAAAGTCAAACAGCTTTCATTTATTACAGATGAGAAAACTGAGGCAGTGCTTGTCCCAGGTCCCAGGACAGCAAGGGAGGACTCAAGTTGAATCCCATCCAGTGCCTCTTTCCTGACTTGATCAGTAGGTGCTGCTGAAGGACACCTCAGACTGACTGGCCAGAGCAACTGGACAGTGTTGCCTGATTTTCCACCAGGATCTCAGACTGAGCACCTCATGAGACAGGAAACACTCCAATCTAGGCTAGGTGAGAAGTCTGATCAAGCATGTTACCTGCAGAAAAAGGCTAAGAGGACTCAAGGCACAGGAAGAGTGTCGAGGTCTCACACAAGAAGGAAGCTGCCTTTGGTAGTGATATGAGAAGCAGGGATCAAAAGTGAATGGATGCAGCCTCTAGACAGCAGAGTGTCAACCAGAGTGCACCCCTCCCTTGGTTCCATGATGCATCATCTGTGACCCTAGAGTATCATGATGCCTACATGTCTCAATTATATAATCACCCTCCTGACAGTGGGAGGAAGGGAATCAAGGCTAGAGACATGACAGTGACTGTGCTGCATGTATGTCCTCCCTGAGCCCGGCTTGCCAGGCAGGTGTGCGCAGTACTGGGCTGTTGGTGACCAAGCCCGTGGGCTTGGGTCTGGGAGGCAACACAGGAGTCAAATACCCTACTCCCCTCTCTTGGGCTCTAAATAAAGTCGTTGTTATATTGCAGCTGTGGGGCATCCTGAAGGGCAGGAGCTCAGTCCTTAGTCTAATTTCAAGGCCTTGAGAGCGGCCATAAAGAGCAAGGCTCGAGTGAGGAGGAGACAAGGCTAGAACTGACAGGGTAAAGGAGACTCAGGCTGCCATCTTGTCTATAAACATAATCCCCAAAGGCTGGGGGTGTTGCTTAGTGGTAGAGCTCTGCCTAGTGTGTCCATTCTCCAGGACCACACAAGTGACAGGCATACAGTCAACTACCACTATAAAAAGCAAGACCTTTTGCAAGCTAGTTTTTTTCTCATGTGATGTGGTGGTGAGTTATAAACACATTTTGTTCTGTGCTCACACAGTACTTCTATGTTTATATATGTATATGCACACATTCGATGTCAAATATGTGCATATTGATGTGTGTAAATTACTTAAGTCTTCTAAATCTTACTCCATCTTATTATTTTCGTCTCTTTGATTTGTTGAAAACAAAGGAAGGCATCCTGAGCTACATCTACTTTGCTTTTATCAGTTTCTTCCTATGTTGTGATTACATTGGCTTTTCTGTGTTTCAGAGTCCATGGGATTTGTAGTCAGTTCAGGCTCCCTCCTCTGCCCACAGGGACATCTTTCTCTGCTGATGCTGGCACTCCACTTCCCTGCCTGTGTTCGACAAGCATCTTCATCACTCACCCCTGAGGGCTGAAGAGTTCATCCCACTTGTTTGATTATGTTGAGTGTTGACAGCATGTTATTTGGGTGGGGAGTTATTGATTTGTAGTCCTTGGATATCATCTTGACTTATCAGTCTTGATATTCATATTCTCTTGCCGTTTACTTTATTTTCTCTCTAATTTTTTGTGTGTGATTGTCTAACTTTGCTTTCTAACCCAGAGTCTAAACAGAACTCTTTTCCTGTCAGTTGTTTCCTTAGGTATTTCGTTACGGTGGTGAAGTCTGACCAGTGACTAAGGCATTGAGCAATGGATCAGATTGTCTGCTCTGACCTTTTACATTTTAAAGATGAGATGCCATGACTTGAGGTTGGTTGTCACTGGTGATGAGGCAGGGACAGGAATACAGAGACTCTGTCCTGACTCCTGTATGAGTTCTTTTTATGCTTTGTGGCAGTGACACAAAAATCACCTTAGCTGCCCCTCTCTCTAGGGTGCTATCTCCAGGTGGCTGAAACCCAACTGTAAAGCTCACACTGTGAGGCTCACAGCCTAGCACTGTTGGCACACTTACATGCACTGATGCCTGCAAACATCTCAGCAAAACGAGGGTCTCTCTCTTGGGAGAAGATTGCATCTGCTTTTTCCACAGACTTCCCTGCCTCGTGAACACCAGCAGGTAGGTTGGGTACCGGGACCTGTTGGCACATAAAACACAGTAGCAATCCACACTTAAGGCACATAAGGTACTTTCTAAGAGTTACATGCTGTCCCTCCACACAGTCCTTCTAGGTGGAAGAGCTAGCATTTCAAAGCTTGACTATTCTTGCAAGTTCGGAAGCTTATCCAGGAAGCTCAAGGGCATCTGGGTTGGGAGGTGTGAACTAAGGGATACAGGAATATTGCCACTGTTACAGTGACTACTTTCTTGGAGATAAATGAAAAAGAACCAACCTACTGTTAACATCAGGAAGAGAACCTAAAGGTTAGTTTGGGAAGAAGATCAGACACCCATGTCAACTGAGTCATGTCAATTTTTCTGATGGTCAGCTGTCAGAAGCACGGACAAAGAGACGAGAGAAGAGGGACCAGCAGAGATGAGAGAAGGAAAGGACACAGTATGACAGAAAGAGACATGTTAAAGCAGGAAAAGCATGGGGAAAAGATGAAAGAGACGGCTAGTAAGTCAGAGTACCTACGTCCAGAGCCTGCTTTTGCTAGTTTCTGTGCCTGTGAGATTGGGGGCCACACTGGAATGACCCTCTGTCCCCTAGAGATGCTCAGTGCTAGCTGACCATGGCTCACCACCTGCTCACTACCTATGCTCTGTCCCTTGTGGCTCATTTCAGGAAGGAGGAGCCACAGCAGTGAAACAGGGGTTGAGCATCATTAGCAGTCCAGAGGGTGGATGGAGCTCGGTGCCTTGGGATGGAGGAGGGCGTCAAGTCCTGGGGTGAGTTTATTTCTCAGTCCACTGAGTGTCAATCAGAAAAGAATTTCCCAAAGATTCACCTGAGATAAGTCATATGACGACAGCCCATCTCGCTGGTGCACCTCCAGTTCTGCCTGCTGTTGCTGAAGTTGCCTGTGAAACAAGAAGATAACACATGTATAAGGAACAGGAAGGTGGGAGGCAATGGGGCTGAGGCAAGTAGCCCATGCTCTACAGATCGCTAAAAGGCTTTCCACTCCAACTCCTATAGTTCAGGTTTTGAGTTCTACACAAACTGTTGAAAAGGTAAGGGAAAACACATGTGTGTGTCCTGGTGTATGTGCGTGTGGAGACCAGAGGTTGGCATCAGGAGTTTCTCTTCTTTTGTTTTACATCTTATTCTTTGAGTTCCCCGATCAGCTAGACTGGCTTACCAATGAGTTCCAGGCGCTCACCTGTCTCCACCTCAGCAGCTCCAGGGCTATGCTAAGCTGTTTACATGGATGCTGAGGATACAGACTCTTGTTTGATCTTGTTCTCTGCTTTATCCACTGAGACATCTTCTCAGCTTCAAATTTTATGTCTGAGACAGGGTCTTGCTATGCACCCTGAATAGGCCTGGAACTCTTGATCCTCCTGCCTTAACTCTCTAGTTCTAAGAGGATAGACAGGCACCACCATGCCTAGATCAAATAAGGAGCTTCAGCAAATTACTTTGTTTTATGCAGGGGAAAAATACAGTACCAAAATTCTTTTAAAAGCAAAATTCAGGAAAGCAGTCTGTTCAGCACTGAGCAAAGCTGCAGGGTGTAGCTGCACACCTGCCATTGGGGTGCACATCTTATTCATGCCTCAGACTGAATTTTTATGGTGGTTACTTTATCCACATGCTAATATCAAGAAGTTGGAGCTCAAAGCTAGGGTTAGGTCAGAGATGTTTTGCTGTAGCAGAGAAAGATCTGACTTCAGGGTTGAATCCAAAGTGTTTGGCTCCTCCTACTCTGCCCGGCTCCTCCTACTCTACCAGGAAGTTCTGTTAGGGGTGGGGTGTGTGTGTGTGTGTGTGTGTGTGTGTAACAAAAGGTTGAGAGAGAAAACTGGTGCTTCAAGTTTTAAAGTAGGGCTTTCAGGAAACCATGAAGCCTGTAACTCATGCTACAAAGAAGGTAAAGTTTAAGTAAGGTCCTCAGTTCTAGACCCCCTAGTGAAGAGACTCTGTAGGAGGACCTGCTGAGCAGCTGCTTTGGAATCAAATCCAGAAGTCTATTCAGTAAAACATGCAGAGGCAAAGAAAACAGCAGTGCCCAAGTCCTGTCCTGATGACTCAGAACCCCCAAACTCCTGCTCTGGTGGAGCTGGGTCTCTAGGGAAGGACCAATGAGAAGACAGCTTCCAAGGAGCAAGGGGCCTGATCTTTTACTGTGGTACAAGAGTGCAGGATCTGAGTCCATCCTGCAAGAATGGAATCAGAAGCATGTGCTGTCCCACCAGGCAGTGCGAGCCTCTGTCTCTCATATCGGCAAAATGGAGCATTTATTATTATTATTTCAAAAAACTTAAAAAGAGAGCTAGGATATAGCAGAGTTAGGAGAGTGTATGCAGAAACTATGGGCTCAATTCCCAGCCTCGCATAAAAGCAGCCATGGTGGCCCATGCTTGTAATCCCAGCACTAGAGTTGTGGAAGCAAAAGATGCAGTAGTTCAAGGTTATATTCAAGGCCAGCCTAGGCAACATGAGACCCTTTCTTAATTTTTTTTTTAAAGAATCAATATAATCATTACTATCAAAGAAGAACTGCTGTCCTTCCTTGTTTGTACTCCATTATCTGCTGCTTCCTGTTCTCTGCGTCTTAGGGAAGCATGATGGCTCACTGGCAGGTTGCTAATATCTGAATGGAAGACTGATCACCACTTGGCCAGCACTGTACATCTTTACAATATATGGCTATCAATTATTAGATAAAGAAGACGAGGCTCAGCAAGTTTAAGTGGTGTTCCCAGCTAGAGTGCAGCACAGAATATAATTATATTATATTATATTCAAATATAATCCTGCAGGGCTGTGGACCCTGTTCTCTTTCCCCTGCCCAGAATAAACACCCTCCATGTCCCAGGGCTCCTGGAAGACTCTGGAAAGATGGCATTGACTTGATCGTGTTCAGAGAAATCTCCTTGGCCTTGTGGGTTGACTCAATCATGGTCTGATGAAGGTGACCATCACCCGAGAGGTCACCAAAATGTTGGGGGTTGCCCTGGTGCTGCGATGTATTCAAATGCTAATTCTGTACACCAGTAAGTTCTGTTCCCCCAAGAGGAATGAATTTTCAAGTCCATCAGCTTTTGTTATGCAAATGTTGCACCCAAATTATCTGTGATGGGTTAATAAAAGTTGCTGACAGCCTATAGCTGGGCAAACGAGAGGTAGGCAGGACAAAGGTTGCTGGGCTTGGGGTTTCAGGTAGAGACCATGAGGGAAAGCAAGGAGAGGATGAAGAAGAAAGTCTACATGGGGTAATACAGACCATGAGGATGTGGCTATGAGGGTTAGCCTGATGAAGCAAGAGCAGAGCAAATGAAACATATGACAAGTAATACATTGGGGTTCAAGGCATGAAAGCAGACAAAATAGCTTTGAGGGTTGATACCTGCCCAGCTTTGATGCTTTAAAGCTTATTATAATTCTTAAGGTCTCTGTGTCCTTTATTCTGGCAATAGCTGGTTGAAAAGTAACTGTTGCCGCATTAATTTCAAGCATTAGTTATTAACTGAAGAATGTTTAAGTCACACTACACCAAGACCTTCACCGGGGCAGAGGGGGAAGCGTGCTAGAATTCTGGGCATCAACTTCAGTTCTGGTTCTCTTCTGAGGGGCAGGAAAATAAGAGATCAAGATGCTCCCTGTATTTGGAGCCCATCACTGGAAGGGCTCCCACCTTGGCTGGAAGTTGCTGCCTGGCTCGAGGAAGGACAGAAGAGGATGGTGTCTTTGTGTCCAGCCCTCATTGAAGGCTACTGCCTCCTGGGCATACAACCTTCTGCCTCCTTTTGCATCCATCCCTTCTCTTCACCTTCCACCTACTATCAAGCAGGTGACTGACTACTACTATAACTGAGTATATATGATTATTAATCATTTGAGTTTTGGGCATGGTGGGGCTTTAAGAATCCATGTTTGTACTCACACATATGTGTATGCATGTACACATGCATCCATGCATGCACAAATACACCTACCCTCACATGGACACAAGCATCTTCACCCCTCCGTGCATATTACACATGAGTTCACACAGGTAGATATGCTGTATGCAGGCATCAGAAACTTGTGTCATGAGAACCTGAGACAGCCTCAGACTAGTGTTATTTTAATAGCAGAGGCTTGGCCTAAGGATAATTGCATGTCACTCCCCTGAAGAGAGATGGGAAGTGACTGTCCAGGAGCTAGGATGGGCGAATATGGAAAGACGGACATGACTGGTTTCTCAGAGTATCAAATCCCAAACACCAAGACCTGGGCCAGCTCAGCCATATGCACCCTGTGTGTTGCATCAGTCTGTTTTTCTGGGCTTCCATCTATGTGGAAGGAACAGGAAGAAGTCAGAGGTGACAAAGAGCCTTTTCAGTAGCTTAGCACAAATGCTAAACACCCAATGCTTGCTTAACTTCTTCAGGAAGTTGCTTTTGGATGCTCTTAGCTGAAGGCTACTGAGCAAGCAACTCCTTGCTCCTCCCCACAAGCACAGGGCATGGGAGGATCTTTCCTAACTAGCTGGCCTACTGCTGGCAAAGCTGACAAAACTAGAGAAAGGGCTCGTCCTCTCACATGCGTGGTCAGCACTGCCCTCTACCGTCCACAGCGAGCTTTTCAGCCTTGCTAGTGAACACCTGGTTTAGAAATCTGATGTGTTGCTATTGCAGCTGCTGCAGGTGTCCCAGAGGCTTTCTGGTCCACATGACTTCCAGGAGCTGCTGAGAATGACTGGCCTGAGACAGCAGAGTGGCCCACCCCTGAACTAAACGCTTTTCTGTCTCGTCAACACTGCCTGGCTTTCAGAAAAGAAAGTCAACCCAGTCAGCCAGGGCTGGTTTGCAGAGGAGAGTGACTTTGCTTCTATGCCTCCCCCTTGTCAGGGTTGCCTCCTGGGGAATGTTTCCCAGGCTCTGGGGGTCTAGTTTGTCCTCTTCTTCCTTTGTATCTGTCCACTGTCTCTTACCTACCTCTACCCATGCTTTCACGGTTTTGAAGCTCAAGCTTTAGGCTCCTGGGACTGGGTGTCCCCTTAAAGCAAGCACAGTAATGCAGGCAAGCATCTTGGCTGTCATAAGCCATATCCGGTCATGGTGGTCGGGAGGGGGGGGGGTTTATCAGCTTCATTAGCTGTGACCAGACATGTTACTCAGAAGGTAAACAAAGACTAGAAAAGACCAACGAAGAAAGACTTAAAAGCCCCCAACCACCCCTAACAAGGCTCCTCAGTCTGATCTGCTCATTCAAATCTAGAAAGCTGCAGGGTGCCCAGCCAGGGAACTGTTACTGTAGATAGGCTGGCACTCACATGCTATATATGTAGTTCACCAGTAGGGAGGATTTAGTGACAGGGAGATTTAGGAAGGTTGACAGTGAAGCATAGGCAACATCCTCACGAACAGCCTTACTGACAGGAATTCAGCTGCCTCAGAGCCCTTGCTGAGCATAGGCCCTGTGTACACAACCACATGTTGAGAAGGAACAAAGAGGGATGAGGGGCAGAGAAGACAGAATCCAGAAAGGAAGTGGCTTTCCCTAAGATCCAAAGGGGGAAGATTCTAGAGTAGTGTCCAGGACTCTGAATAGTTGGCTTGTTTGTCTGTTTCCATGACTTCTTGGCTAGGTAGCCTGAATTGACAAGTGTGAGGCCACACTGGGAGAAATAAGTCTAGGGGCAGAGATCTGGCTAACACAGGTGCTAAGCAGGTTGTCCTTCTTCTGCCAAGGACCTGGCACCCCTAGCCTGTAAGCACCCGAGTAGACTGCTCATAACCCTCAATACTTTGAACATAGCAGCAGCCAGGTCCTCCCTAGCCCCATGCATCTGGCTCTACTCCCATTTCTCAATCTTCCTTTATTTTCATTAGACCTAGGATCAGGTATGGGTGTGGCAATCATGGGCATGTCTCTGGTCCCTGGGTAAAGAGTACCCCTCTTCCACACTGTGGGATTGACAGGGAAAAATGGAATACCCTCAAATTTGACTGAAACCTCCAGATGAAATAGGATCATCTTTTTGGCCATCTGTATCTCTGGCTTCTCATATTTGTTCTGCTCTATGTACAGTTTGACCAGCAGATGGGGTAGAAGACGAATCCAGTTCTACCAAGTACACAGGGGTGGAAGATGTCTAGAAGGAGAGCTGGTCCAGGAGGCAGTTGACGGAGAAGCATCGGAGCAAGAATTTATGTGTCCCAGATGGTATGCTCGAAGCTGTTGGACTAGTGTGAAAGCCAGGCTGCAAGAGACTGGGACAAGCTGAATGGCAGCAGTAGCTCAGCAAGGCCAGGTCAGAAGGGATGCTCTGACAGAGGGACATGGCAGCTTCTTAGAAGGATTCCCTGGTGTCAAGAGATGGGGAAGAGAAGGCCATGGGTTTCAGGACCAGCTGTGACTGAACCTGAGGAATGGAGGTTGGGAGTTCCAGTGGCCATGAGTGGCAGACACAAGGGCAGTCTTCAGTATGCCGTCTCATTCCACACCCTCTGTCACCCTAGGCATAGCTTCCATGTGCTTTAACTCACTGGGACACCTTTGTGCCCACATGTTTACATGTGTTGGTTCCTTACTGGGTACAAATATCTCTTAGCTCACACCACGGTTACACCTGATACAATATCATAAGTATGTGGTATTGGAAATCACAAAGGCACCACTGTCCCCAACGGCATCAAGCTTAGCAACACACAAGGGGATGGCTGTTTCCTCGCATGGATGTATGGCTGAGTGGAGCTGCCTCTCTCTGCCACAGCTTTGCCATCCATGAGCTTCCTCTAGTGTGTTGCTAGCCCAGGGAAGGGGCAGATTCACTATTCAAAGTATGGTTCCCTTTGAATGTGCATCACACTGACAGTACAGTAGAGTCAAACTACAGCAAACGGAGAAACAGGTAGACCTCTGTGACTTCCAGGCCAGCCTTGTCTACACAGTATGTTCTAGGTTAGCCAGGGTTACAAAGTGAGATCCTGTATTTTTAAAAAAGTCTCAAAGTAGTATAATGGAAGCATCTGAAACCACGCTTCTTCTGTATTTCCTCCATGTTTGATCTGAAGAGGCATAACCTGCCTATGATCTCTATTGCACTGTGCCCACAAGTCTGTCCTACAGATCTAAGCTTAACTCCAGAAAGCAGGAGCCATGGGTTGGGGGAGAGAACACAGTTATTATTAAAGCATGACAAGCAGTGTTTTATCCCTAGCACTCATGTAAGTAATGTAGGCTCAGCAGTGCTTATGTGATCCCTGGGAAGCAAGAGTCAGAGCCTAGCCAAACCAGGGAGCTCCAAGTTCAGTGAAAGACTCAATCTCTAAAAGTAAGGTGGAACAACTGAGGACGACTTCAGATGTCACCCTTTGACTTCCACATGCTTTCACATGCGCACGCACACACACACAAAAGAGGGACCGTGTCACAGGTGAAGGAAGTGAAGGGTAAGAGAGGAAGTGACTTACTTGAGATCACAAAACCAGAAACCCGCATGGCCAAGATGAGAACTCAGGTTTACCTGTCAGCTCCATGGATATGGAGTATACACAAAAGGCAGGGGTCCTAGGCTGGGAGCAGCGAGGGTTGCTTTCAGGCTTATATTCTGCTGCTACAATGGCTTCTTGACCTTGGCCTGAGCTTCAAGAAGCCCAGTCCACTTCTTCTACACACTAGCTTTAGCAGGCCCAGGAGACCGGGCACAGTGACTACCACAATAGGATGTGGAAGTAGTTACTTCTCTGCTTGACTTAATGTCCAGAGGAAAAGAATGGAATGGAGGCTGTGCTACCCTGACCTGAACATGGCAGGCATGCACCCCATAGTAACAGAAACCCAGAGTCTCCCCTTTTCTTGCCCCTTCACCCCATAGGGGTTTTGGGTTGCAGCTAGAGCCTATGGGGAGAAGGGAGCCTCAAGCAAATCAGTTCACTCATGTGAATAATCAGCAGAAGAGAGGGCTGTGCACATACTTGACATTGGTGTTGGTGCAGATGACATACTCGATCTCATCAGAGTAGGGGTTCTGGAAGGTGAAGCTGCTGGTACGGATCAACAGCCACTCCCGGTTCTTGGTGCGGAACCGATACATGACCGACAGCACTTGGCCCTTCAGCTTAACCACCTGCAAAAACATTTGGACAAGGAAAGTCAGCAGGAGGAGGAAGAGAGAACAGCAGGGCAGTGTGGCCGGCTGCTGGAAGGTCAGCGGGACCACAGAATGGGGTGCTGCCGCAGCCAACGGCAGTAAGGGGGGAATGAGAGTAGGGGTGACAGGTAGCAGCTAAGCTCATACTTCCATCTGCTTCTGCCCTGGGGTCACTCTGTCATCCCATGTGAGAGACCAGTAACAGTCAGTGTTTCTAATTTAGTGGTTACAATTCAGATGGTGAGCATCCTATATGCACACAGTGCCTGGCATAAGAGTTGTCTTCCTTCCTTCCTTCCTTCCTTCCTTCCTTCCTTCCTTCCTTCCTTCCTTCCTCCCTCCCTCCCTCCCTCCCTCCCTCCCTCCCTTCTTTCCTTCCTTC